CGTACGTGGCCGCAGCCCGCGTATCGCGTGAACTGATCGTCGATCCATCCTCCCATATGGGGGGGAAGGAAATAAACTCAACCAAAGCCACCGAGTTTGCCGACGCACGCGGCCGTACGTACGCACGTCGCGCCGTCGCCTTTTGTTGCGGCCGCACGTCACCGGGCGGTTGCGGGCCGCGCTTGCGCACCGGGCCGTTGCCCACCCTGACTCGCCGCCGCGTACGTGGCGTTCTTCAGGCACTGGGTCGCGCCGCCGCGGTCGGCTATGTCGGGCTCGTACGGGCGCATCTTTAACTGGAGTCGCACCGTACCCGGCCGACTGAAGCGGGCCATGCACCCACTCCGATCCGCCCTTGGTTGCTGCCGTCGAACGACACGGCGGGCACCCATGTTCCATGGACCACGGATGACGGGCCCGCCCGGCGCTTGGCTCGCGTCGTTGCTTGCGCGTGTAATCCTGTGCAGTCCCAGAGGGGGGCCATGGCAATCCTGGCTGGCGGCTGCAACGGCCGACGCCCACTAGGGATCGACTTGGATTGAAGCTAGCGCTGCTGCCCCGGCACGCCAGCAGGGCGTAACCGTGTACATGGCGGCCGCAACCGTCAGCGCTGCTGACAAGTGACAACACACGGAGGTACGGCGTACCGTGCCCCTGTTCACTTTGCTCAAAAGCTAAGCTAAAAAGTATAAAGTATCGTTCGTTGATTTATCGTGGAAAGAAAACACGGTTACTTCGCTAAAAAAAGTGCAGCTAATAAACCAAGCGAATAGGACCGGCTAGTAGAGTTAGCCGTAGTGCACTCCCTCGTTCTTGCCCAAAATTTTAATTTACTTGCTGCCATCCAAATATGTATAGCAATTCAAGTTCTCTCTGGCACGTACTCCCTCAGTCACAAAATAAGTGCACATCTCAAATATCGAGGAGTCAAACTTTATGAAGTTTGACCAAACATATAAAAAATTTACTAATGTTCATGATATGTAACTAAGTATTACTAGCAAACATGCCCGTACGTTACAACGGGGGAGAAAAAACTATCAAACGTTTAACTTCTTCGCTTTTATCTTGTTGCACAACTGCAGTGGCTGAAATAACCAAATTAGACACGGATACAACACTAATGATTAGGTTGGACGAAAATTTAGATGTGCAAGAAATTTTGCCTCCTCAGTATTCGTATATAAATTAGATTTATTATGGAATATAATTTCATAATAAAATTAATTAGAGATACAAATATTGATATTATTTTTTATATACATAGTTAAATTTTAAAAAAATTTGACTCCTCGATAAACCTGGTGTGCACTTATTTTATGACGGAGGGATTAGCCGTAGCCATAGTCTTGATCAGGTTTAGTAACCATGCAGGTCGTCTTGGATACTGTCTGTCATCCAAAACACGAGCAAGTGAGCCCAACCCGAGCGCTGGTAAAGCACGCATCTGTGGCCTATACTCTCTGGAACTACTTAGTGGTCATGTTCTACGGCATTACTTCAATAGTATTTTTTAACGAAAAAATAATATTTTTCTCTCACAGCGTTTCAGCCCAAACCAAATTTCGTACGGTTTTCCAAGTCAGTCCGGCATTATTGCTTGCAGAGCACGGGGTTCGTGTTATCTACTTTCTGTCTGCAGCGAGCGCATCCGTAAGGAGTGCAACACAACCCAATCACCAGGTTCTACTAAATCCATCCATATCAAAACAATTGATATGGATTTTTCAATATAGCTGATGGCCGTGAGATACTACTATCGGTCCTGGTCCTGCCTGTTCATTCTGTCAAGACGATTAAAGTATGTGTATTGTACTAATATATATACGAGAACAGAATTGTTATAGGGCACTCGGGCCTAATTTTTTATTTTTCAGTCTTTTCTTTGAAAAATATTCACAAATAGACTCCTGGTGGTTTTATTTTCGTTTATGGATCCTGACCTCGGCGTCATGGCTTTTGGCGCCGAGGAAACACGTAATGGCGCCGAGGTCTTGGCGAGGCGTCGGACATGGCGGTGACCTGACGCCGACGTGGACAAGGCATCGGCGCCGCAGATCTTGGCGCCGAGCCGTTACCCTATAGATCTCGACGTTTGAAATGAAACAAGTATAATTGTTCCGAGGAACATGCTACAATATTATTGTGGTTCAGCTGGTTAGAACGCACGCGACTTAGCCCAAAGAGCCTGGGTTCGAACCCCAACGCTGAATCGTATCGAACTGCCTCAGCAAAAACCAAAATTCTTACTGAACATCTCTGCAGATGTTCTACTAGTGGCCGGCGTTTTGGTCCGTCCATGTGTTACCTACGTCGCTTTACTACCACCGTACCTTTTCCACTCATGTCGTCTTCTCTCGCGTCAACTTTCTCTAGTTACTTTATTATCCAGGATAATTTTTGTTTTTTTTTTGTCTGCGGCGTCTCAGGATGAGAGAAAGGGAGATGTGGGGTTGAAAGAAAGATGGTCAGATTTGGATTTGGCTAGGCTGGCTTGCACATGGCTGCACCCTCTCGCCATTGGTCCATCCAGTAGGGAATTCTTACTCAACAAATTATTTATTTAGGACGCTAATTTGTTCAGTAAGAATTTTGGTTTTTGCTGGGGGCAGTTCGATACGATATATCAAAAGGGTTGAAAAAAAAAGATTCAGCGCTAGGGTTCGAACCTGGGTTAAGTCACGTGTGTCCTAACCAGATGAACCATAATGGTGTTGTTGCATGTTTCTCGAAACAATTATACTTATTTCATTTCAAACGCCGAGATCTACGGCGCCGAGCTCGGCGCCAAGATCTACGGCGCCGAGGCCTCGTCCACGTCGGCGCCAGGTCACCACCACGTCCGACGCCTCGCCAAGACCTCGGTGCCGTCCCATGGCGCCGAGACGTATTTCCTCGACGCCAAAAGCCATGGCGCCGATATCAGGGTCCATAAACGAAAATGAAACCACGACGGATCTATTTATGAATATTTTTCAAAAAAATGGCTGAAAAATAAAAAATTCGGGGCACTCGGGTGTTTTTGCCGGCTGAGCGCGCGACTTTGTGTCCGCTGGATCTGACACTGTATTGTGCTAATACCAGAACAGAAATGCAATAGGGCACTCGGTTGTTTTGCCAGCTGCGCGCGCGATTTTGTGTCCGCTGGATTTGACACGCGTGCTGCCTGTGCTGTCCGATTCTGTATGGCTGCGGCACCCGCTCGTGCGGCAGCGGCTTCTTCGCGCCCTCCACCTCCACGTGCCACGTGCTGCCTATTTGCGTGCCCAGCTACGATGCTGTGCCTGTTTAGGATGTTTCGAGGCTACTCGGTAGCATGCCAAAATATACTCATGTATTTAGGATGTATAGCAAGTATAGTTAAGTTACATGAAATATACTTTTATAATAAACTTATTTAAAAATCCAAATGTTGATAGTACTTTTTATATTCTTATCGAGAAATGAGACTTGTGTTTATTTTGGAACAGAGGGAATGAATCTTATTTAAATTTAGAAATATTCCTTACATGCATATTCAGTCTTGTATCCGTGCCTTATTATTTAAGTTGGAACTGTATCTAGTTCCGTGGCTGCCATATAAATTATTACTTTTCCTGTATTTTCTAATTCTGAATTTAAGGACCCTGGTTAAATTTAGATCATGTTCAGCATAGCTTATTTGATTAGACATAGACTATTAGGCACAATGTTTTATTTTAATATGTAAGCTGATCCGGTTTGCCGGGATCTGTGAAATAAAATCAGGTGGGGATCAATTTGATCCCCCCTAGTTGATCTCAAAAAAATGTGTACGGTGATGGGTGGCTATTTTTTAATTATATCTTTTGCGTGAGAGCAATGTGTTAATTATATTGTGGAATTCGATTAGAACTCCTATTGCCAAGACATCACGTCATGTGGTGACTAGTGAGAACTCCTATTGCCAAAAGAGCACTGAGGATGAACCTGTATCGTGAATGGCACATCCTCTGATCTTGTGGTGAAAAGGGCAGCATGAGAGGATTTTTCTCCAAATCACAATTTTGCAATAGGCTGTGCACATGAGAAAGAGACGAAAAGGAAAAAAAATCTGTGCATTTCCGCGCTGTATGTCTGTAGAAGTAGAACCCTCATGAAATTGCACCCTCCGGCAACCCAAAAAGGAGACGATCCTACGAAACAGATCTGATCTACTCTGTACAAGCAAAGCCTTAACCGGTCAACCAAAGGCCAGAGGAGCAGCCGAGGAGGGAACGAAAAACACGAGAGAAACAGAGTCGGAGTTCAGCAACGAAACCGGACAAAGGCTACGCTAGCAACCAGGGTGCCTCCGCCACGTGTCCGCGCGCCCGTCCGACGTGGCGCGGCGGCCGTTCGCGCCCCCCGCTCAAATCCTAAAACGCCGCCGATTCGCAGAGTTCGTTCGCGCAGAGAGAGGAGGAGCAACGACGACAACGAACAGAGGCAGGCGCGCGGAGCAAATCGGAGCCCGGAACCGGGCGGGCGTGCAACCACCACACGTGACCTCGCCTCGGCTCCGCCAGTGGAAACGCAACGCAAGGTGATCGATCTCCCGCCTCCTCCATCCTCATCCGTCCACAGTCCACCTATATAATACCTCCCGCTCCGTTGGTTTCGTCGCCTCCGTCCGTCCTCCCCAAAGAAAGGTGTTCGTTGGTGATCTCCCGCGTCCCCAGCGAGCATGCTGTCATTGCGCTGCCGCCACGCCGCCGAGCCGGCGACCCGCGGCGTCGCATGTGAACACGGCGCGCGTTCCTCGTGTTGTCTTCTTTCTTTGCCCCCCGTCTCTCTCTCTCTTTGTTTCTTTCTTCTGTTCTTGGCCTCAGATTGGATCTGCCCGGCCTTTCTTACCATATATTGATATCTTGTATGTATGTATTTTATTCATACAATCCCTGCAGGTTTCCACCCAGGCAGAGATAAATAAGTTCGGCGGAATCAAGAGGCTCTGTCTGTCCAAGAAGGAAAGCCAGCGGCGCGGCGGCGCCTCGGCGGCGATGAAGTACGTCTCCGGGCCGTACTTCGAGCCGGACTTCGACCCGCTCCTCGACCGCTTCGGCACCCCCGGGTACGCATCCTCCGCTGGCTTGCTGCGCGATTCCCCTTCTCTTCTGAACGCCGGCTGTTGACGAGCTCTGTGTGGCCTGCAGGGTCGTCGTCGACAATGAGACGCGCGAGGACTGCACGCTCGTCAAGGTTTGTTTGCTCTCGCGACAAAACAGAGCCGAGCATAGCATGCACAGGACCTCCTCCTCTCGTTCTGTTCTGATTTCGTGTGCCTCCCCCGTTTCCAGGTTGACAGCGTGAACCGGGACGGCGTGCTGCTGGAGATGGTGCAGCTGCTCACCGATCTCGACCTCGTCATCTCCAAGTCGTACATCTCCTCCGACGGCGGCTGGCTCATGGATGGCAAGGACTGCTCCTCCTCCTCGTTTCTTGTCAATTTGCTTTGATTTGATTTGAATGCCATCATGCCATCGCCCGTCGAATTTGACTCCGGTCTTTCATGGAAAGTTGGGCATCAATCATTGCCCTTGCCCCCACAATTCAATCGGTTCTTGACCGGCTGCCACTGTTGCCCAATGCAGTGTTCCACGTGACGGACCAGATCGGGCGCAAGCTGACGGACCCGTCGCTCCCGGAGTTCATCCAGAGCGCGCTGGTGCCGTTCCACCGGCCGGGCAACAGGCCGTCGCCCCGGTTCACCACGTGCCTGGGCAACGTGGTCGGGCCGGGCGGGCCCGACGTGTCGGACTGCGCGGCGCTCGAGTTCACGGTGCACGACCGCGCGGGGCTCCTGTCGTCCATCACGTCTGTGCTGGTGGACAACGGGTGCCACGTCGCGTCCGGGCAGGCGTGGACGCACAACGGCCGCGCGGCGGGCGTGCTGTACGTGACGACGGCCGCCGCGGACGGCGCCGGCGCGGCGTCGCTGCTCCCGAGCCGGTGGGCGCGCGTCGAGCGGCTGGTGAACGCCGTGGTGGACGCGCGCGAGAACTTGACCGGGGAGCGCCACTGGGTGTGCGTGTCGGAGCCCGTGCAGGGCCGCGTCCACACGGAGCGCCGCCTGCACCAGCTCATGCACGACGACCGGGACTACGAGTCCGGCCCGGCACCGACCCCCGTCGACGAGGAGCTCTTCAGCATGGGCGACAAGGCGGCGACCGCGCGGACGGCCCCCGCCGCGCCGTGACGCGCGTGTCCATCGACAGCTGGGAGGAGCGAAGGGCTACGCCGTCGTCAAGATGACGAGCAGGGACCGGCCCAGGCTGCTCTTCGACACGGTGTGCGCGCTCACCGACATGCAGTACGTCGTCTTCCACGCTACCATCGGATCCCAGGGGGCTCTTGCCATTCAGGTACCACCACGTGTGTTTCTCACCTCATGTCAGTACGTGGGTGCCCATGTTGCATTGCATCATCACCCTTGGAGACTTGGAGTCTGACACTGTGTCATCCTTGGCATCATCGACGCAGGAATATTACATCCGGCACAAGGACGGGCGCACGGTCGACAGCAGCGCCGAGCGGCAGAAGGTCTCCCGGTGCCTCGTGGCCGCGGTGGAGCGGAGGGCCACTCATGTCAGGCTCGCTCGACCATTCCTCGCCGCTGTGTATGTACTTGTCGTTTCACTAACACACGGCGTTGCACGTTGCAGGGCGTGAGGGTGGAGGTGCGCGCCGCCGACCGGTCGGGGTTGCTATCGGATTTCACCAGGGTGCTGCGAGAGCACGGCCTGTCGCTGCTGAGAGTTGAGCTCAAGAGGCACAAGGACGACGCCTTTGGCATATTTTACCTCGTCACGGACACCGGCGGCGAGGTGCGCGCTGAGGCATTGCGAGCTGTGCAGGCGAGGGTCGCCGAGATGGACATCTCGCTCGACGTTGTCATGGAGGCCCCTGGCTGGCCGCCGGTGAGGAAGACCAGCGTGCCAGCCCCGCCCGTCGCCGGGCCTCAGCCTCAGGAGAGGCCCAGACCTTCCCTGGGGAGCCTTCTATGGTCACACCTTGGGAAGCTCTCGAATAACTTCAACTACATCAGGTCTTGAAACCTGTTCGGAGAACAATCCACCTGTTGTTCTTCTGCAATCTGCATAGACGCTTCCATAGGTGCTCAGTTCCAGTAATTTCCTGTATCTCGGGTACCAAGAATTACAATGTCAGGAAGCAGTACAAATTTGTACATAAAGTATAGCAAGTTGTATTGCACATAAAATTCTCGATAAATTGAAGATCACTCTGCTTTTTATCTGATATATGTGCAATTCTTTGACCAAACAACGAATGTAACTTTATTGTTCTGACCTTATAACATCACGAATGCTTATGTACAAAAGAGTATGAATCAAATTACAAACTGTAATGCTGGTCAAACGTAGCACCCTACCATATCTCGAGCGATAAGATCACAGTGCCTTCACCCTGGCCGCTTGAGCGCTTAGATCACAGCCCCCGGTAGCTTGAACAGTGCCTTCACCCCGGCAGCTTCCCCGGCAGCTTGAGTGCAAAACAAAGCCACTCGGTTTTCACTGTACACCCTATTCTTTTCACAAACAGCCTGCACCTCTACATTTTCTTGTATAGCATAGATATCCAGTTTCCAATACACTGGTCGATAGCTCGCTTTGCAAGTTGCAACTAAATCATTTCACGTCATCCTCTTCCAAGTCACTAAAAGACACGTCTTCCTCGTCACCTATGTGGATAGTTGGGTGGCCAGCAAGATCAGCCTCCTCGTCGAACCAATCGCCTATGTCATCATCAAAGGCCTCTTGCAAAAATATTTGAGGTCTCAGTATGATCCTTGGGCAGCTCCTCTTTGATGACCGATTTGTCCACAGCTGCAACTTCAGTTACATGGATAGGATGCTTCTCAATCTCAATTTCTGTTATGGGCATAACAGAAGCTGCTTCCCGTCGCATGAATGGGAATGCTTTTGTACCATCTTTCAAGGTGTCCTCTCGTAACTGAACTCCATGATCATCCTTATGATGATCTAGCTGTTCAGTTTCAAGCTTTGACTGGTATTGCAAGCGTTGCATAAGCATTGCTCTAGCTTCCACAATCTGCAAGAATAAGAATTGGACTTAGATTACTGGCTCAGGCAGGTATCATTATTCGTGGAATAAACTGTTTGATACCAGCAGAAATGGCAAATAATCATGTCTTTAGTTATGATGATTGCATCAACCACGGCAACTGATATTCTATTGTGCATCCCTCCTTTTGGTGCACCCATGACATAAATGGACTCCAAAAGTTCAAGAAAGTCAACTTGGGGGAAGGTGTTCCGCCACAGTGCAAATCTAATTTATAGAAAGAACTACAAATGTGCAGAATATTAATCACTAAAGCAAGCAGTATTGATCCTGGATGGGTTCCACTTTTAATTACTTCATTGGTTCCTCTATTGGGAGTTTGAAATTTAAATACCTAGCAAGACAACTCAAGCCAAACTAACTTTATTTGATTTCAGGTCGTCGGCACCAGGGTGCAGGGGAGCATTGGGAACATGCGATCAGTTTACTTCAAGATAAACCATCACAAGCAGACACATTATAATATTAGCTTTGTTCTCAACCAGAGAAGGTTGCACATGGAGAACAGGAAAGGGCAACAGTCAGTTGAAGATAAAGACTGTATACTTCTAGTCCTCTTTATGCAGGATCTTGCAAGTGCTTAATTGGAATTTTGTTTAACCATGTCTCATAAAAAAGGAAGTTCTTGGACCATTACTGCACAGCACGCACGGATGGACATAGGCCATGGGCCTCTACTACTAAATTATCTTTGATATAATAATCAGATAGGCAGAATTTTCTACACTTAGTTTGCCCAATTTCTGATGTCATTGAAAAAGCCTACCATAATTGCACAAAATATTCTGTTTGGCATCTTCTGAGAGTTCATATTGAGTAACTGGCCTTAACTGCTATCTGTTACAATATGCCCCTTGCTTGAATCTGCACTTGAAGGTCAAATTTAGAGATTCAACTTTTCACCAATGAGTTAACCCTCTCGTCGGCAGTTTCCAGTGCAACACGTGTCCGATGCAGCTTACAGCGAGACACACAGCCATGTCCTAGGTCCTAAGTTGCACGTATTGGGCTGCCGGTCTTAGGGGGGGTTACTCGGTCCCGCAGACAATAATCTTCATCCTAGCTCAACACCGTGGTGAGGGTCTCCCACAGGGGCCGAGATTTTTAGTAAATCAATAAGGAATCTAAACAGTGCGTGCAAACTAGAGGTTAGAGAAATCTAGCCACATAAACCTAAAGTATGCCTACAAATTACCTAGAGCTTCCAAATCTAGTTAGGGAGGTCTGAAACATGCTGGTATGATTATATTTCTAGACAAATAAAAAACAACCAATTTGACATGACTGGCTCGGTAGCTCCTCAGTAGTATGCACAAAAATGCATATTGCATATAGTTTACATATAGTTTGAAGGAAGCTTATCTACTACTCACTGCAAAAGATAGAGGAAGCAATCTCATATATTGCTGTAACATGTAGGCACAGACATGCACGGGCAAAGGATCCGATATGGCTAGGTATGGCGGACACCATACCTTGACTTCCTAGCGGATCTCCCCCTGAACTGCCGGACAGGCACCCCGTCCACTGATCGGCCATGGACATCGAAGCAAGCTTTGAACACAGTCTGCCCAATAGACAGGAGGAAGGAACAAATGGTTTTTCTAGGTCATGGCTTTGGGCCTTGCTTATGGTATGGGCCATCACTGTGTTCTCTGCCTCTTTTATCGTCCGGACAACCGCCCGTCGTATTCCATTCCCATCCGGCTGTCCGCCTATAGTATCCCAGTCCCAGACAATTCGTTGATTCGAGTTCTGCTGCGCTGCCGATCTTGCAGAGTGCAGATGCCTAGGGCTTAGGGGCCGATCGGAGGCGGAGAGACTCAGTGAGCCAAGCAGGCGGTCACACAAAGACAGCGACAACAAGGCACACACTGATGCAGAGGAACAGGCGCACAAACACTGGCCACACACTGATCAGAATCAGGTAAGGGAGTAAGGCTCAATTTGCAGCAGCATAAGCTTTTTTCAATTATTGTTTACTTGTTTATTTAATTTGTTGTTTAAATTTGGTATTAATTATGAAGAACAGGGCAAAGAATTAAGTATAGATGGACTCAACAGTGCAAATAATTTTGTACTTGGCGAATAAAAAATCATTAAATCTTGCATGTGTATAAATAATTTCAAATCTTCAATCTTACTCAACCTATGTAACCTACTTCGGCACTTCACCACACCTTAGTTTAATTCCTTCCTCCGCCATTACACACATGCAGAAGAAATGATGTTCATACTTTATCATGTTGTTTTCTGTCTCCCGATACCATTTATGTCCACGTACATAAACTATGTGTTTTTCCTTTATGGAGTATGGATACTTAATATGGGACAAGTTGGTCATCTGCCATGAAATTTCTAGATTTGACCACAATCTGTGTTTATGATCAAAATATGCCTGGCACTATGGAAGAGATGACATAATTTGCAGAGAAGCTAGATAAAGGTTATTTCAGCTTCCTTCATCAGACCACTAAATATCATGTTTAATTGTATGGTGCGCTGGTGTGAACCAACCAACAACTCTTATGTCTAGTAGTTGAGTATGAAACTAGAAATGTGCTACCACATACATAGAACTAAATCGAGAATCAAGATCTCTTGAAAGTAAACACAAATTATATGGGTAAGCTATGTTGTCTAAGAGCTCAGGCAATCATAAGAATATGCTACCTATTGTAAGTTTGTCTCTGCTCGTTCAGCCATAATAACTTCAATGGTACGCACCTATATCAACACTGTTGATATTGACATATGGGATTCTTTTCTTTTCCCCGCACAGCAACCCTTAGAAGTTCTCATGTGTCATGTATCACATTAATGAAATAAAAAAATCCATAAATAATGATGTAAACCACAAAAGAGATGTCTTGAGAAATATTCTAACCTAACAAATGTCAAGTCAGAACTAACTAGATATTTGCTACAAGTAGCATCACTAACCTTAACATAACTGCATATAGCTTTACTACTTATCTATACCAATTTTCTGGAACAACGTTAACCATGGAGGTAATATAGTATCAAGAGTAAGGAGAATTTTACCTATGGTGTAGATAGAAGCTCGGCATCATGCTTGTTCAGTCTAGGATGTAGAAGAACAAAGTAAATTTTCCAAAAACATTCTTCATTCATATGGATCGGGCATAGTTCAATCCGCAAAGCTGCTAATCTGGGAGCAAGATGCTCAATAGCCAAGGAGTGCTCTTGTTGAGCATCAGACATGTCAAAATCTGAAGGAACAAAAAAGTTTAGGTAAGAAATTCTATATGCATAAAATTGGTAGAAAAAACAATGAACATGCAGAGCAACCAAGATATTAAGCTGATAGTAGTTAACACATGAAGAGTTTTTTCAGTTACAGTAGAGACAAAATGACTTGAACCTAGCAACACATCTTCCAATGGTAAACTTGAAACTTTACATATTATTTCACCGAGAACAATATGAATAACTTGAAGAAAGAGGTGAAGAAATTACATGAGAATGGTCCATCGGACTCATCATCGTCATGCAGCAATGGGAAGTCAAGCCAGGTCTCCGGGTGCCTGGCAATGTTTGTCGCAAATGCAAGCACCTCCTCAGTGATTCCAATCACATCCCAGTCCTCCTCCACTTCCTCCTCCTCCTCATGCCTTACCCTCAGCTCCTCAGGTTCGCCATCCTCCTCATGCCTTGCTCTCTGCTCCCCCAATTTGCCATCATCCTCATGCCTCGTTCTCAGCTCCTCCAATTCGTCATCTTCTTCGTCCCTTACTCTTTCCATCTCCAACTCATGCCTTGCGTCGCCATCCTCCGCCCTAAGGCCTACCCTCTCCTCCCACTGATGCCACTCCTCGTCGCCCTCCACCTCCTCTTCCATCTCATACCTAATATGTCGTCTCCGCTCTTCGTCCCACTCGTTCTCCGCGTAGTCATCAGGAGCGAAGAAACTAGAGGCCATCCTAGAGAACCCAGACACGGCCTTGTGACCTGAGATCCGGGAGATCCCGCTTCTGAACCTCCCGCCGATCTCAGCAAAGTCGTTCCGGATACCGGCGATCTCGGGCGGTGTCCTCGCATCGGCGGATTGACCCCCCACGATTGAGGGGAGGGTGACGGCGACGGCGAGGTCTCCCCGGGCGGTGGCGCGAGGAAGTTGGCGACGCCCCAGAACTGGCGCGTTAGGGTTTTGGAGAGCTCGGTGAGGTCCTCCTTGACGCCCTCCACTGCGCCCGAATGCAGCGGGTGAGTGGGGAGCGGCGGCGGCGGCGGCGGGATGCGCGCAGAGGGGAAGGGGTGGGGGTGGCGTCCGGTCATCGTCGGCGCCTGAATCGTCAGGGATGTTGAGGGATGTGGCGAGAGAGCGGGCGAGCCATGACATCTCCGGCGATCGCCGGCGGCGGGGCAGTTGGGTTTGGGATTCGGGTTGGCTAGGCTTGGGTTGGTTGGTTCGGTTCAATCGGCCGCTTTTCTTCGTGTGCCTGCTTGCTTGAATTCAAATGGACGGGACTGCGAGGCTCCGCAAGAGTTCACAGCGGTCTTCAGCATCGCTACTTTAACTTTTTTTTCTCTATGCACTACCCTCGCTCAGTTTAGACTCTATCGTCATCAAACTGTAGGTGTGAAAAGTCAAAAATACCTTAAGTCTAAATATGTCATTAATTTTTTTTAACATCTTAACGACTTTAAATGAAAAAACTCAAAACTAGAGAGTTGTAGATCTCGTCGAGATTTATAATTTTCATATAAAAATTATCTTTATTTAATTCCGTAAAAAAATATGATTTAATATAATTAATATATCTTAGAAAAATCGCATCTGAAATACAAACAGAATGTCTCACGTCCGAACATTTGGACGGGCGAGCGTCCGGACGTCCACGCCCGCTTCACGTGGGGCTCACGTCGCACCGTGTCCCGCACCTGCACTGTGGCCCATGCCGCTCTATGTCTCGTACCAGCACCGTGGCGCCCCCTTCACACCCATGCACATGTAGGCGGGCCCAGCAGCTGCAGCATGTGGCTGCGCTGCTGCAGATGGGTCCTACTGCAGTATGTGCAACACCAGATCTATTTTTGCAATATCTAAATGAAACACTTACAACGTACGTTCAAAACAAATTAAAACACTTAGAACATATGTTAAACACCAAGAAATATGTGTAGCCAGTGCAAAACATACGCGACATTCAAATGAAACACTTGCAATATATATGTGAAACATATGTAACAATCTTGGATGAAACACACTTGCAACATATGTCTCAAAAAATAAATAAAACATTGGAGCAGATGTTTACAACATAAGTGTACAACCATTGCAACATATGCAACATCCCGATCTACTTTTACAACATTCATACGAAATCCTTGCAACATACATCTGAAACATTTGAAGCATACGCTTTTAGCGCAATGAAACCTTGTTGCTTTGACGAATGGAGCTCGTCCTTGTGGAGCTCGATGCCACGGAGTCTTGTGAGGTCCTCGGTCTTGAGCTCGCCGGTGGTACTGAGATTTGGCGAAGGGTCGCGGCAAAGTGGATGGAGCTTAGCGCGACAAGAGGCATGAGTCCGGATGGCGGGCAAGCGGCGCAGGAGGGGATGGCGCAGGCAGAATCCGCCCCGCGCGAGCAAGCGAAGTTCGTCCCGTGAGCGGGGACGCGTAGCGCAGAGCGGACGTGCGACGCGGGCAGTGTGTGTGTATGAGTGGATAAGGGTGGGTCTATGAATGAGTGGATGAGGATGAAGTCCGGACTGAAGTCATGAGACAGATGTCCATGAGATATCATTATCGAAAGACAAAAGCTTTTTAAAGAGCTAAGAGTCTGCTCGGTTCACTTCCAAAATTTACCAAAGCCAAAGATTTGGCAAGCTGTAATTTTGGCTAGTATTAGTTAGCTACCAAAACTTGTCAATCTCTGACATTTGTCTTACCAATCTATGGTAATTTTTTACTCAACTTTTCGTTGCTAGATCTTTGGCATGACAAATTTTGA